AGATAAGAGATGATTGTCTCCTATTATGCAACCAAGATAAAAAAAAAAAAAATTTATTACCATTTTAATCGCATTAGAAAATGCTGTATTAATTATTAAATAAGAGTTAAGTACAATTAGATGCATGAAAATGTGGGAGAGTTAGTCATGAAACATGTAAATGCATAATTAAGTAAAGACATGCAAGGTGAGGAAGTAAAATATTGACCATAAATTGATTCATAACAATTTATAATTTATATGATACTAAATTGTAAAATGCAAATCATTAAATTAAAAAAAAAATCCTTAATATTGAGAGTGGCCATTTATCTAATAATTATTAATTGCTATTTTGCAATATAAATTTCTAATACAAGGCGGATATTGAATTGGTATTCATAATTTTCAAATCATATTATATACTAAAAGTGTTGGATATTGGAATTATTAAAAATGTCAATTTTTTTATAACAATTTCATATAATTTTATATGTTATTTAATAATAAATATTTTTTCTTTTATTAAAATTTATAATATTATATGTATTTATTTATTTAATGATAAATAAAATTTATATAAAAAATTATTTTCATATAATTACCTTAAAATAAATAAAAAATAATTTTGCTAAGGATATTTTAATAAATTCTTAGCCTGCAAAGACTTGTCCTTTGTATTGAATTACGAGTTTGTGTATGGATTTTTTTGGGTAATGTTCGAATTACGCTAAATTTTAAGAAATATGAATTACACCGTCATATAATTTTTCTTAATTACATAAAATTAGGATTCAAACCACATATCTTACATATTTAATGGTTCTTATTATGGCAAAAAAATGGTTGTAATTAAATAAGAAAATAATTTGTATACTATTTGGTTCAACACGACTATTAACATTTACTGATTCAATTATTAAAATTTATAGTAAAAAAGTTTCTTCCTTTTAATTCAAATTTAAAAATAATAATTTTTTTGTCAACTATCTAAATAACTCAATGGTCATCTCTTTTTATTAAAAGTAAGAGGTTCTTATTAAAAGTAAGAGGTTTTTAGTTCGAATCGTATAACATGTAGGTGGGATGCAATAAAGAATGAGAAATGATTGCCTCCCATTGTGTAATAAAAAAATATAATAATAGTAATAATTTTTTAATGAATGTGTTATAGAGTATATTAAACCTAATATACTGTTAGATTTGGAAGTGGAGATGGTAACAAGTCTCAGCAGTTAGGAGTGCCTCCCATCCATGTCCTTGCAAAATTGCATAAATGATGAGTGTTAGATTCTCTTTGTATTTTTATGATGGTTTAAAATCATGATTCAAAAGAATTGGTTAAATACCCTTTTTGGTCCTTCTACTATAGGAAAAAGCCCGTTTTTAGTCCCTGTACCGAAAAAATCCCTTTTTTAGTCCTTACTGTTCACAAATCCGGCCCTTTTTTGGTCCTTCCGTTAATTTTTGCTCACGTAACACGTTAACTTAATTGAATCAGCTGATGTGGATATGCCAACATGTAAAAAATGCTTACATGGACTCCACGTAGACTCCACGTCACCCTCCACATGGACTCCACATCACCCTTTTTTTTTTGTGGAGTCCACGTGGAGGGTGATGTGGAGTCTACGTGGAGGATGACGTGGAGTCCACGTAAGCATCTTTTACCAGTTAGCATACCCACGTCAGCTGTTCTAGTTAAGTTAACGTGCCACGTGAGCAAAAGGACCAAAAAAGGGCCGGATTTGTGAACAGTAAGGACTAAAAAAGGGATTTTTTCGATACAGGGACCAAAAAAGAGCTTTTTCCTATAGTAGAGGGACCAAAAAAGGTATTTAACCAAAAGAATTTAATCTATTTTTGTGCTAAGTGTGCAGGAAAGTTAATTCAAGAATTCTAATATTTTCCCATGATTAGAATTGAATCATATCCTCCTTGTTCAGAGTTTTGGATTCGAATCAATTATATTTGATTCGAACCAATCCCGAACTTTTTTTTTTTCGAAAATGATTCGAATCAATATTTCTGGCTTCGAAGCAAAATTTCTGGAAGGTTAAATTTTGACAGCTCAACTATCTGTTTATTCTTAATGGGTCATAGGGTATCTAAATGTCTTAGCACTTTCCAAGACAAGTCAAAAGAATAAGATGGAGCCTAATTGGGGCAATTGTGAGGTGGCTTTG